TCTTTGTCTCCAAAAGTCATTTTTTCCCTTGGGGCGTGATTCTTGTGATAATATTCCTCATAACACCTAACTTTTGCTAGTTAACTTTAGAGGATGGCAGATTGTTTGAGGCGTCGTTTTGATATGAGGAACGTGGTTTATACTAGTATTTTCTGGGCGGCTAGCAATAGGTTGTATTGCGAACTACATTTGCGAAAAGATACAAATTTTAACGCTACTGGTTCAACATGTGGAAACCTGCGATGAAGAATCGTCAATCTTATCGTGGTGCATTGTAATGGTGGATGCTACATCCTTCCATAGGGTTTATAACGGTGTTGCTGTTTTTTTTTTTTTTGACGTAAGTTGCACCAAAGATTTTGGCAAAAGATAATATTATTTTTGTTGGGGACTGGGGTTCAGTGATTCTGAAGAAATAATATGCACTGGGATTATAAGCTGGTTGCGAGCCTTCTGTCCAATGTGGACAATGACTCAGAATACATTTCCTTTTGTTTATGTTGACAATATGATTTATTCAAGGGCAACAAAAGATTACATTTTCTGGTTATGAAATTTGGGCTGATGTATTGAAGGTTCCGGACATGGAAGACAAGAACAATGAAAGTCGTATGACGTCAGCCGCAGCCTTTGTGGAAGGGGGCGTTCAAGAAGCATGTGATGATTCTTGCAGCATATGCCTTGAGGATTTTAGTGAAAGCAATCCTTCAGCGGTAATTAATTTTTAGTTGTGTACTGTTGTACTAATTCAATTACATGGCAAGTGTGATTTTATTTCAAAATCATTTGTTTACTCCTATTATCTCTGGCTTTTCAGGTTACTACTTGCAAGCATGATTTTCACCTGCAGTGCATTCTTGAATGGTATATCTTAATATATATATAAATATATGTATCGGATTTTGTGTATTAAGTTGGTTAATGATCCCTATTTTTTGTGCTGGGTATCAATGAGAATGGTGTGAGAGAACACGTTATTTATGACTTGTGAATAGCACTGCTGCGTCGATTTTATATTTGATATCAATATATTGATTAGAAATGGAGGGTTAGAAATGTTGGTATAATGGTTTGCGTCTTTGCGATCAAAACTCAGCCATATTTGACTTCCTTGAACATTCATTCAATAATTTTGTCAATTACTCCATTTAGTTCCTAATTGTGGTTTTCTTTGGTGAAATGTCTCATTCTCATCTTACCAAGCAAACCAGAAGATATTTACTGTGACGTCCTAAATTTATCACCACCAGACTATTAGCATGCCAATTCCCATTTATAAGTAACTGGTCGCTAATAGTGTAAGATACATGCGAACCGTAGTGAGTTCATTGAACAGTATCACTGGCTTATTAATCTTGTTTGCATGGTGATTATGAATTTGTTGCTACTTTTTTTGAAATACTTAGACATGTCATGTATCTATAAAGTAAATACTGCCTACATATAGTTGTGACCTATAAAAAGAAAAGAAACTACAGAAATAAGCGCAACTATCAAATAGGTTGACTTTTGATGAATAAATTTTTGTTTCTCTTAGTAGCTTGCTGTTTAATTCCTTTGTAAATTGCATGAACATGAATTTATCAAGTTTTCAATCCTAAAAACTGGCTATTTTGAGCTGCTGGCGGCTGTGAATTATTTAGATGCTTATGTTTCTGAAAATGGAAGAGGATGCCCTATTATTTGTAGGTGTCAGAGGAGCTCCCAGTGCCCTATGTGTTGGCAGTCTATTAGTTTCAAGGATTCTACAAGGTTTGATCATTTCTTTTCTTTAGAGCTTTGCAGTGTGTGTGTGTGTGTGTGTAGTTGGACGGTTTTTAAACTTGGATGTATATTGTTGCAGTCAAGAATTGTTTGAGGCTGTGGTTCAGGAAAGGAATTTGAGGGCTACTTCCTCAAGAAATGCAACTATTTTCCATCACCTCGCTGGTCTTGGTGATTTTGACTTGCAGCATGTCAGTTATTTTTAAGTATCCAAATGAATTTGATTGTCTCTTATCTTTTGCGCATCACAATTCTATCATTATCTATTTCATGCCATATTTCTCTTTCTGTAGTTATCCATGGGACTAAGTGAAGCAGATGTTGAAGAGAGGATAATTCAACATTTAGCTGCTGCTACAGTCATGGGAAGAGGCTTCAACCTTGGTTGGAGAGAAGGAAATAGGACTAGATCATTCCCTCACGGTCGTCCTCCCTTCATAGTGTTCTCAACTCCTCCACCCGGTGCTGTGTCTGCTGCTGCAGGGGGAACTGAACCAACTGCAATTCCTGTAGGAAATCCGTCTACCCCACTTACATTTGGAGTTGAACCATCACAGCAGATCCCAACCCTTCAAACACACAGTTCTTTACCTCCTGGATATACTGACATGGCGACAAATCGTCAAAGAATTCTTTTTAATGATAGGTAGCTATAATCACATATTTCCTAATGGTCACTGCTAGTTGTGCTCGTTAGTGAAGTTACACACTTTCATACACCCTGCGGTTGTTTGCTTGTAGAAGTTCTGCTGTCCGTTCTGTACCACCTGACCAGGGCAGAGCAGGGCCATCAGAACTTCAGTCATTTTCCGAGTCTCTGCGATCCAGACTCGGTTCAGTGTCTATGAGGTAAAATTTCTCTGGAAGCCACTCTGGCTGTTGCGCGTGATATAATAGTTTACTACACATATGAAAGCCCGCATTGCGGATGATCTACTTTTGTTTTTAACCAAATCAACATAACTGATATTAACTTGTTATCAAAAGATACAAAGAGACTATTTCAAAGGGCGCAAGGGGATGGAAGGAAAGGCTGTTCTCTCGTAGCACTTCCATGTCTGATATTGGTGCAGAAGTCAGGAGAGAGTTGAATGCTGGAATTGCTAGTGTATCCCGCTTGATGGAGCGCCTTGAAACAAGAGAAAAGAATGATAGAGAAGGGGATAGTTCTTTGTCGAATCATGTGGCTGCAGAGACAAGCAACTCAAACAATGCCGAAGCTAGTGAGGTTAACACTCTGTGTGACAAAGCTCCAGCAGCTTGTTCTGCTGGCCCACGCTCAGACTGAGATCTGTTATGTTTCTGCTATTGCATCTTCCCTCAGCGTCTCATATTTGAAGGTAAGATTTACTCCTGGTCCCCTTCCAGTTTCAGCTAGGACAGGTATTGTCGTCCATGAATCAAGGAGTACCCTAGCTTTTGATGATAATGTTTGTATATTCAATGTTTCTGGTCCTTGTCGTTCACTGGGGGATATGTTTGCACTTTGGCAGGAGTACTATTTATGGGGGTAATAAAAGGGGTCTCTAATGTTTGCTTTTCTTTTCCATCTCTTTTGATTCAGTTGCTATGAAGCATCAAGCATGGTTTAAACATGATTATATGAAGCCCTTGCGGTGTTGTTGCAGGCTAATTGATACTCCAGAAATGACATGCTGAGGAGCAGATGATTTGGGAATAGTCATTGCTATTATATGCTCATATGCTCCAATTTACAATAAAATTTAGCACCTGAGACACTTATGCTTCAAGTCATGTATGATTGATTTTTTTTTTTTTTCTTTTTAAAATGTAAATATGATATAGATAACGGTGACGGCCGGCAATGCCGATCATTACTGTGTATTTAAGCAATTGGCGTCTACTCCGAACATATTATATCTTGAGGAGGCTGTCCCAATCTTTGCGACTGCCCACAGTCTGTACTCGTATTTGTTATCTTATGCTGTGATGTCTCATTTATGCTATTTACGACACTTAAGAACAGCCTGCTCTGGCATGTACCGTAACCGAGGTTCATTTAATATTTTCTTCCTCCCAATATCACCGAATTTGAATCGAGACTATGAATATTGTATGAACAGTGAGCTCTAAGCTCTTGACTTGGAGTTGTGATTGGTTCAAGCATGAAATTAATGCCGCCACGACGTCCGTGAAAGAGCACAAGCAGTTTAGATTGCTTTTGCAATCGCTGCATTAACGTTAATTAATACAGTTCCTAGTTTCGGAACAAAGGCGAATGTAAAAGCAAGGAAACGAGCAAGGGGTGAAAAGGAAGTGAAGCATATCCTTCAAGGGGCCTTTTTTCATCCTCCAAATTCTGACCTTTTCCGAGGGTTACTATTTGTGAAAGCAACAGAGGTGAGAAATCGGAAACGAAGTAGGTCGGATATAAAATGATGCGAATTGACATGAGGTGTTGCTTTGTGAACTTTGGGAAATATGAAAATGTGAGATAGAAAGGAGGAATAAATAAAGCAAATAAGATCGAAGGAGGAGACTAATTAAGAAAAGGGGAAAGGGCAGGTGTGGGGTGAGAAGAGAAGGGATGGCGACAAAGGAACCACCGACGGATGAGACGTCGCCGTTTTGATGCCTCGGATGATTTCATGTCATGGAGGCCCGTGGGGGCGGGGGCTCATTAAAGAGAGGGGGATGAAGGAAGCTCTAATCATAGGGTAGGTGAGCGTCACGCGTGAGAAGGGCGATTGAAGGAGGACGTAAGCGAGGGCGAGACTGGACATTGATTTGTAGCTTAGCGTAGAAATGAGGCCATTTTTATTCATTCCCCCCAACACCGACACCTCGCCTTACATTATACCCCTTATTCTATTCTATTCAGCATTCTCCCACGTTTCATCTCATTTCTTTTCTCCTCCTGCCAATTAATTTATCATCATACGTCAAAAAATGTCCAGCATAGAGAGATTGTTATTCCCTCATTATATCATTTAAAAACCCTCATAAACAGAGCTCACTGATATTTTTGAGAAAAAAAGTTAGGTTGGTGTGAAGTACTCTCACATTCAAAATTTTCTCACATTATTATTATTCACAAGAATAATGTTGCGGGGAGAGCAAATTATTTTTGGGCTATTAGAAAGAGAGAGGATATTAATCAATGAGACAGGCTGTCCGAACTCTCTCACTCCGAGCCTTCCATTTTCATTGCTTTTTAAGTCTCAGCAATAACTGCCTCCCAAGTCTTCTCTTCTTTCTTTTTCTTTTCGCCCCGCGTGTCCCTTCTCTCCCTCTTCTCCTTCTCCCCGCCATCCTCCCTCCTCCATTAAGCAATCTCCCTCCCCTCTCACCAAACAAAGTGCCCCACTTCACTTTCCCTTCACTCCCTTCAATTATTCATCAATTCAGGCCCTCCTTCCTCCCTAACTCCAACACCATGGCCGCCCTCCCTTCTTTCTGCCGTGGTGTCCCCCCCTCCCGATCCTTCTTCTTCCTCTCTCTTCTTTTCCTTTCCCTTCTGCCATTCCACTCTGCCCAGAAATTCCCTTCTTCTTCCGGCTCCGGTCAGATTAACTCCAACTCTATTCTCGTCGCTCTTCTCGATTCCCATTATACTGAGCTGGCTGAGCTTGTGGAGAAAGCGCTTCTCCTGCAGAAACTAGAGGATACCGTGGGCGCCAACAATATCACCATCTTCGCCCCGCGAAATGAAGCTCTGGAGCGTCAGCTCGACCCCGAGTTCAAGCGATTCCTGCTTGAGCCCGGCAATCTCAGGTCCCTACAGACCCTTCTCATGTATCACATTGTGCCCAAACGAATCGGTTCCAGTGACTGGCCCGCTGAGAGTTCTGGAGCTGTTCCGCATCAGACTTTATGCAATGACCACGTGCATTTGGCGAGCAAGGGTCCTGCGAGCAAGGTTGTTGGTTTGGCCGAGATTGTTCGCCCCGACGACGTCGTTCGTCCTGATGGTGTGATTCACGGCATTGAGCGGCTTTTGGTCCCGCGATCAGTTCAGGAGGATTTCAATCGCCGCCGGAATTTGCGGGACATATCGGCAGTTCTCCCTGAGGGAGCGCCGGAGGTGGATCCCCGCACCCACCGGTTGAAGAAACCCGCTCCCGTGCCCGCCGGGGCTCCTCCTGTGTTGCCCATTTACGACGCCATGGCCCCGGGTCCTTCACTCGCTCCGGCACCGGCACCTGGACCCGATGGTCCTCATGGTCACTTCAATGGTATGCGTCAGGTGAAAGACTTCATTCATACTCTGTTGCATTACGGTGGCTACAATGAAATGGCAGATATTCTGGTTAACTTGACATCTTTGGCCACCGAAATGGGAAGGTTAGTCTCAGAGGGTTATGTCCTGACGGTGTTGGCTCCCAATGACGAGGCCATGGCGAAGCTCACCACAGACCAATTGAGTGAACCGGGTGCGCCGGAGCAAATAATCTACTACCATATCATACCGGAGTATCAGACGGAGGAAAGTATGTACAATGCTGTGAGGAGGTTTGGGAAAGTTCGGTACGACACTCTGCGGTTGCCACACAAGGTCGTGGCTCAGGAGGCTGATGGGTCTGTGAAGTTTGGGCAAGGTGAAGGGTCTGCATATCTGTTCGATCCTGATATATATACAGATGGGAGAATTTCAGTACAGGGTATTGATGGAGTTCTTTTCCCGGCCGAAGAGGAGCCAAAGACTGAGCGAAAAACAGTACCGGTCGTCAAAGTTGCCACTAAACCAAGGAGAGGTATGACATGATACATCTCTCTTAGATTCATGTCCGGCTGTTAAGTCTTTAATTCTTCATTGCTTTTGGCTTTTGGGGGTCACGGGGAAACCAATTTGGAAACTTCATTGATAATTTAGGGTTTTGGTCCTCTCAGTTATCGTTCTTTGCTGAGGCATTTAGGAAAGTAACTGAGGTAGAGAGCAATAGAATGTTTTTAGTACCATGCCGCATATTGACATTGGCAAAAGAGAAAGTTCAAGAGATGGCGGTTTTTTATGTGAATGGAAAAAAATTGGAAATCTAGCAACTTCTGGGTTAGTCTGATCGATCGAAACTAGATGGGAAAAGTTATTTGGTTCATAGAATTTGGCAACTTATACGTTGACCATCCGCGTGGCAAGGAAGATGGGATCCTGGTACCATTTTTTATTGCTGCTGGTGTAGTATACTTTCAATTTTGAATTTGATAAGCTTTTAGTATATACAGTAGTTTTTGAAAAGGCTGGAAACAGCCTAGCTTTGCGATCCAGTGCCGATGCTGGAATACAAACTGTGATGGTGGGCTGCTTGACTTTACTTTTTTCCGAGTGAAATTTGTGCCGCATAGTTATTTGGTGAATTTATTCCATTTCTATTGAATTCTCAATTGTACGTCAGTAGTTTTTAAATTTTAGGGCGCTTGCTCTTCATAATATAAATGGAAAAGTTCTGCTTAGTTAAAACTTAAAATAGTTGTTACGAGAGCATGATGGCTTAATCAGGGGTTTAAGGCCCGAGACGGTGAGTGTGGGGAGCTGGGAAAAATCCTCAGATTGAGAAGAGAGTGTTATGTCATGAATCCCTGAAAAATCATTAAAATTCCTGGATGATTCTGTTCCCTTGTCTCAACTTGTCCGTATGTAAAAAATAATTCAGCCTGCCAAGCTGTGAGCCATATTCTATTCTGCGCCCACCTCAATTTAGCTGCCGACACAGTCTGTCAAGACAATCATACATCCCCTTGTTTTTGTTTCATATCTTTTATGTAGTTTATTTATGGTCAACTGGCACATTTCTTATTTTATTCAACTTCCAAGTGAGTACCAAATTTTGTTTCTATACGATTAGTTACTTGATACAATACTCTGGAGGGATATAAAAATCAACTTACTTCTATCTTGCTTATTTTCTTTCTTATTCAATACGTTTGAAGCTGCGCAATACCTTGTTATCAGTTGACTTACAATGTTATTCACCTAATATCATGTGCAGGGAAGTTGCTGGAAGTAGCTTGTAGCGTGTTTGGAGCTTTTGGACGAGTCTGCTAATCGAATCGTTTTCTCAACTAATAGCTTGGAAAAAATTAAAAATTTTTAAAAAATAATAATAAAGGGGTAAATTTATGTAAACAAATTGTTATATGGTAAGCTCGCCTACCTTTCATTGCATGGTTTACATCTTGCCTTCTTAATTCGAGTATTTTAGCTAAAGTAACAGTGTTTGTTTTCATTTGCATAATGCAGTGGTAGGAGTAATCAGTTCAATACGAAAGGATGCATGTTGAATTTACAATTGGAGGGAGCGATAAAGTTGGCGGGATTTCCGTGGAAAACCCACAGAAGATAAAATCCTGTCATTTTGCTTTACATACTGTAATTACGTACCATTTTTTTATTACTTTTTTTTTTGTGTTGATTCTGTCTCTGCCTGTCCCTGTGTATGCATAAATAACCTTGAAATACGACACTTATCTTCATCCCAGATTGCAAAAATTTTTCACTGCCTGCGTGAATTAAATTCATACATAGTCTACTCTTATTCTATTCTCTCTGCCTATTTTTACGTGAAACTCCTCTCCAGTGTTTCGATATTTTAGGGGCTTCATATTACCATTATTACCAGGCACTATTGTTTGAGAATGATTTGCTGACTAATTGTGAAACTGACTTCTGGGCAGAAAAGAAAACAAAAATATATACATTTGTTTTTTTTGGTTAAATGGACTTGGCTTTATCTTCCCCTTTTGGCGTAGACTAGTGAGCTTGAGAGGGTGCTTAACTGAAAGCAATATATTGATGGTGAGGGTGAGGGAAGTTGTTGAGGGGTTCATATTCCTGAACAAGACCGCATAGCTAATACCTTGCATGGCGGGTAAGAAAAGCCGAGTTAGGAATATGAATACGACTTTGGGCCGGTTACTTTTAACTAAATGTCTATATAATATTTATATCATAATATCATATATCATTAAAGTGTATGATAAGCTATATTATTCACAAATAAATTATTAATAGTTAAATGTATCGCAAAAAAGTAATAATAGTTAAGCTGGTGTATTATTTTAGTGATCTACAAAATTCTATTATAAAAATTAAAAAAAACACAAGTGTTGTGGATGCATATATATTATTCAGCTTAAATATTTAACATACGATAAATAAAAGCCCGCTGATCCTGCCTTACAAAAAGATTTTTTTTAATTGAAAATATAATTTGAACTACTTGAAAGTTAACCTGTCTTAGTCGTAAGATTATAGGATCCTAAATTCAACCATGGTTTCGGTTTTTTATAATATTACAGAGCAGAGATAAAATTTAAAGTCTGATATTAATATTATAATTGAGTTGCCATAATTTAAGACGTTGGAATGTTCTTTTCCGTGACTTTTCTTCTTCTTCTCATTTTGTGGTTGTCTTTTCTTGAAAATGTAGTTGTCATGAACCATCTTGCTTCAATGCGTGTATAGTTTGGCCACACAAAGTCTGGTTAATTATTTCTGCAAAACATGGCGAGAAGTCAAACTATACAATACCTGTCCGTTATATACAATTAAAAAATTTCCGCACAAGAAAAAGAAAAAAATTCAGCTCTGCAGATGTCATGTTTGTTCTTTTGTAAGGAAGAATTTACCGAGTAAAGCTGGCCCCCCAACTGTACTATTCCTTCCTTCATCACCTAACGAATCACTCTCTGCTCTCCCAACTTTCCCTCACTGATTCTGGAAACTCTGCAAGCCACGACACCCCGCATGATCACAGAGAATAATAGTGCATGGAGAGATTCATAATTGTACTATTTGAAGAACGAGACTGTCAAAGGGAGAAAGCCTATTTGTGCAAATATTTTCCTTCACAATGAGCAATATAATATTAGGATCACAGTGTCCCTGAAGCACTTTATCCACAAGTATACATAATAATCCAACCTGCCCTGAACATTGGATGAGATGGTAAATCATTAACGAACACAAAAAGTAATTGATTCCCCCCTCTGTTAATACACTGACAGAGCCTCTCTATATCCAATCTTAAATCTATTGCTACCCCTTTCACCCTTTTTCCCCATCTCTGTGTTGCCTCTCTGCATCATTGCCACAAATTCCTTGTAATCTATTTGCCCATCCTGCAACACAAACATATCATTCATAAGTTGGGATTCAATTCTCATTTATGAAAGTCGCCTCACACTCTTCATTTTTGATTTAGTTAATGCAAAATATATACTCACGTTATCTTGATCTGCTTCTCTGATAATTTCTTCTAAGTGGATTTCTTCCATGCCAAATTCTTGGCAAGCTTGTTGGAGCTCATCTGGTGTGATATACCCGCTTCCATCTTTATCGAAGTATGAGAAGGCTGCAAACAGGTGGTCTTCCCTCTCAATTTTATTTAAATGCAATGTGGCAGCTATGAATTCTTTGTAGTCAATTGTTCCACTGTTATCAACATCTGCCTGTATTCTCAAAACATGTTTCATAGGATGGAGTTAGAACATTGTTAAAAATCTGTCCCATTATGACTGTGAAGCAAGCGTTCATCTTGTTGGTGAAATGAATACTCAAACAGAAACAAAAGAATAAAAAAAAAAAAAATCATCTGTGGTGAAGATGACTGTGGACAAATACTTACGGCTTGCATTAGATCATGTATTTCCGATTCATTCAGATCAGCACCAAATCTTCTCAGTCCATTCTTTAGTTCTTCGAATGTAATTTGACCACTGTTGTCTGCGTCGATGATCTTAAAAATTTCTTTCAATCCAGCAATTTCTTCTTCGGAGAGCTTCTCTGCAATCACCTGCAAAGAACAGTCAAAATATGGTTTTAGAGTCATGTTGTTAAGATGTTGACAAGTTAATTTATCTGAGAAAAAATATGGGTTACCATTCCCAAAAGATATGAAAGCAACATACTCTTATAGCCATTTTCTCGAGCTTATTCATGGCAGAAAACTGCTTCAGGCGACTCAAGACTGCTGAATCAAGAGGTTTATCTGGAGCTTCTCCATTAACTCGTATCCAAGGATGACCTGCAACAATGAATAGTTTTATCATTAACATCAATTTGGCTTCTTTTCTCCTGGTTTTTATCTTAGACAGGAAGAGGTTTAACAAGAAGCACACTGCTAAAGTGTACATCCTGTGGCATTTTGCAAATATGTACCATAATAATGGTGAGCTAAATAAAATAGCCCACGACAATTCTTATTTGAGTTATCTGAAAAATCAAGACAAGAAAAACTCACAAAGAACTTCATGAGCAGTTATCCGTTTTCTCGGATCTCTAGTAAGCATCCTCCTCACTAAGTCTTTAGCACTGTCTGAGATTTTAGGCCAAGGATCTGATGAGAAATCAAGCTTCCCATCCAAAACCTCTTTGAATATATCCTCCTCTGTTTCTGTTACCACTCAATAAAAAGTGTGCATAAAGTTTAGAATCTAGCAGGAAAAACGTAGTGTAAGTATATACATATTAAGCAAGACTATTGGATCATCATCATGTGCTTAACATCTTAAGAATTCACAATTACCAGCCCAAAATGGAGGCACCCCACATAGCAGAATATAAATCATCACACCAGCACTCCACACGTCTGCTTCTGGACCATAACATTTGCACAGAACTTCTGGTGCAACATAATAAGGACTTCCTACAACGTCTGTGAAAGTTTCCCCTGCATCATTGAGACTAAGCAAATAAGAAAACAAATATGAACCTCTCTTCATTAACATACAGATTATAACTACCCATTTTTCTGCTAGAGAGACTTAAAAAGACAGGACTTTAAGAATTAAGGCAAACAACTAAGTTGATGTTAACAGCAAAATGAGAAGGGAGAAGGCATCTAACGAATACCTGGTTTGAAAAACGTAGACAATCCAAAATCTATAGCCTTAAGGGGAGAGTCTTCATCCTTACTGACGAAAAGAAAATTCTCAGGCTTAAGATCACGATGCATGACTCCAAGGGAGTGACAAGCTTCTATAACACTAACTATAGTCCTGGCAAGTTTTGCTGCTTTTCTTTCAGTGTAATGCCCTCTTTCCACAATCCTATCAAACAGCTCACCCCCTGCACATAGTTCCATCACAACATGAACTGCCACAGGATCCTCATAAGCCCCTTTTATAGATATCACATTTGGGCATCCGGCTAAGTGATGCATTATCTGAATCTCCCTCCTCACATCCTCGACATCTTCATATGTCAGCAACTTTCGCTTTGCAATGGACTTGCAGGCATACTCTTTACCTGTAGCTTTCTCCATGCAAAGGAAACTCGTTCCAAATTGCCCATGTCCAAGTTTTCGTCCCAGTTTATAGAGCTCCTTAAGATGACCAGTTTTTGTTTGCAAAACAGAATCTGCTTGCAGCCCAGCCGATTCAAACCTTTTCATCTTGCGGGGCTTCTTTTGTTTTGTAGGTTCCACTTGTTGAATAATCTCTTCATTTCGTACGCTCGTCGGAATCGGTCCACCCTCTTCCGTATGCCTCAGCTTCACCGACTGGGGTAGTGTTGATTCCTCCATTGGTGTTTTTGAAGATTTAATCGCTTCGTCCTGTTTTTGAGGTTGAGGTTGAGGTTTTATTTCCTCTACTGGTTTCGTCTCCATCCTATCGATTCTCAATACCTGGGGTGGGCTGTTTTGAACAGTCTCTGAAACATTTGGGCCTTGGCTTCTGGACGATGATTTACTGGTAGGAGAAATCATATCCCCTGTTGGTCGTGACCACCAAAGTGAACTGAAAATAGTGGGAAATAATGCATCCCTGGAGATTCTTGATCCAACGCAGTTGTTACCCATTTCACAAAAGTCACTTTTCTGTTCCGAGTGTTCAGCAAATAAGAACTGAAAGAATGCTAATAACCCAATGCGCTATCTAAAGTGCGAACTCAAGCGAATGAATACCCGTGACTGTTGTAAGAACTTCCATGGAAGCATGCAAAGAAGAGCATGGAATGGGAAATGCATATAAATAGATTTTAGCGGGAAGAGGAATGAATGAGGCAAGAAGGGAGGATTTCGCAGGGGGGGGGGATTTGAAGGCGTAAAAGAGGAAACTCGATGATGATTGAAGATGGCGGATAAGGGAAAATTGACTCTTGTTAACGAGACAGTGCGAATGGGGAGGAAGAGGAAGTCAGAACAGGAAAAGTCACACAATAAGGTATGAAATCTTTGATTGTGAAAAGAAACAGGAAAGAGGAGGGAAAGAGGGAGTAACAGAAAGCGAGTGACCGGTTTAACTGTGGCGTAGAATGTTTCAAAATACGCGTGCCAAAGCCTCGAGCTAATCGAACGGCTCTTAAAGATGCCCCGGTTTAAGTAAACGGCACAGATTTTATTTGTTCTTTTTCTAATGAAACTCAGCTTCATAGTTGAATTGATTCCTACAAAGTTGCCGGGTCGGTCATATGTGAGGGCTCAGAGGCACTAGCATGCACCAAACAGCCGGCCGCCGGCCGCCGTTTACACCTGTTCAATATGCATATTTATTTACGTTTAACTTTTAACTTTTAATATTGTATTATATGTTTTCAACTTTTCATTGCTCTACCGGCTTATCTGCATATTCTCGTTGGAGCTTAAGTTCAAATACTCTTTCTTCTTTGCAGTACGTCGTGGACGAATATTTCTATTTTCGGAGTGATTAACGTTTCACTTCATTAGAGAATTAGCTAAAAAGATGAGTTAACATTCCCTACCCGGTGATGAGGTTGCCCGGGGCCTAGTCCAACATATAAGTTTCTCCCTTGTTAGATCAGATGAGTAGTGAACCACGCTATGGCTGCAATGAACTGTTCTATTTTCTGCTGTCAGACACGGTTGGACCTCGTAAAAGGATATATTTTAATTCCTGATTTAAAATGACAATTTTAATCTCTTAATTAATCAGTCAACCAGAGGATAGACGTTTAAAGTCCTGCCTGTTAGAAATAAACGTGTGTAATTTAATGAAACTGGTCCCTTTTATTTAGCAAATTGGCTAGCCGTCCCATTCAATTCAATAACCCAAAACGCAATTTGGCATCTTTTATTTGCCATGCTCGATTTTCAACGCTGTAATTATCAAAGTTATTTATTTCTTTTTCGGGAGTGTTTGGCAACTTCCAAACCATGATTTCAGAAGCACTTTTTCATAAAACGAGATAAACTCCTTTACATATTTATTTCGTAAACTATAAAAACACTTCTGAAATCATAGTTTGGTTTCTATCCAAACACCCCCTTCATCCTAAATATAAAATAACGCTTTTAGATAAAACAAAATTTTATGAGAGAGAAGATAAGAGGTGCCACCCCAACTTGCATTGGCGATTCAGAAATACAATGGTGCTCGCGCTTGGAAGCAACTGATTGATTCCGTAACAGGAGAGGGAAGAAGACTTGACTGCATGCACTTATTTCTTGTGGGATCAAATTCCCACCAAATAGATCAGAGGAATCGCCCATCATGACCACCACTTCCTGATTAAAGTCCAAACCCCTCAGAAACGTGTTTATCGGTATCCCATTTTTAAAATCTATAATCTTGCACGTCTTTACCATAACATTAAAAATCTATGAACACTCCTATTCAGGCTCCTTGAGCACGATATTTGACCCAATCTTTTCTCCGCCTTTAAGAAAAGTACAGACACAATCGTCTGGAAAATTCGGGGCAAGCTGTGATGCCCAATCCACATTTTTTAGGGAAACAGATAGGAACTTGGAAGATGCTCATTCAAAAAGTCGGAAACCTAATTCCTATACGAAATCAGTGGCCAGACAAGCAAGGAAAATGTGAAAAATCAACGCAGAAGAAACATGTTATTGGAATAGATTCTTGTCTAGTCTGCGCTTCCACAGTCCACTATCAAACACTAAGCATATCCGAAAGGCCGACATGTATTAATATTACGTCAGTGGCTCTATTCAAACATCCTGAGCCAATCCAGATAGATCGGCATCTATTGATCCGTACTCTTTGGGTTTGGGTTTAGACGAGGCTTCCTGTCGAGGAAATTCTTCAATAGGTATCCCCTTCTTCATGGAGGAGGATGAGTCCCCATCAAATATTCGTGGAGCCCTTGTAAACACATCAAAGAAGCCATTGCTCATTTCTTCAGCTGCTTCGAAAAAACGACTGACGCCTCCAAAGAAGTTGCGTTCAAGGGCCTCAATGTCACTTTGCAGCCCTGGTGATCCAAACATGAATGACCCTCCCCTCTGAACCGCATCAGTGACATCTTCTTCAGTAAACTCCTTGTTCGATTGAATTACTTCAACAGGCCTGGGAAGAGAGGTAACAGAGAAGGCCATAAGAACAAGATTAATTAAAACCCTTCAAGTAAGAGTAAACCTACCAAGAGAAAAGACCAAACAAAAGGAAGCAAGAGATACGACACAAGTTCCAACTGTTATTCCTGTTTTGCACAGAACCTAATGCAAGAAACTAAAATCAACCCTTTAGAACATCTAAGCAAACTTATACTAGAGAAGGTAAGCTCTAAAAGCTTAGGCTGCTCAGCCATCCAACATCATCTTAGGACTAATTTATCACCTGAAAACTAATGTAGACCATTAATAATACATGATATTACTATGCCTAAAGATTCGAGGCCGCATGATAACAGACGTAAGGTCTCAATACAGATATGAAAGTCAAAACATAAATACGCCCCGAGCATCTATTTCAATGAGAACTAAAATTTGAGAACACGAAAATCTGACGCTGAGCAATGCCAACTTAACAACTGAATTTGTTAATTTTTTTTATTTATAGATATTCCTTGAGTAATATTTTGAAATAATTATTATGCAAATAAATGGTTTTTTGTTATATGTTAAGTTTTTTTCGGTAAGTAGTTGACCCAAATTAAACAATTAATAAACCCACACCTACTAACGAGTAAAATCAAACATGCTACACTGCGCAGAACACCTTCACCTGTAATGTCCCCTCTTGACATCCAACCTTGAGGGTGGTGTAGTTAGCATGATTAAATCCACATTCATCCCTAGACTACGTGAGGCTAGCCAGAGAGCTAGCCTTTCCTTATCTGTAAGACGTGTAAGGTTTAACCTCTGAGTCATTCACCATCCCTTCCTTAATATTCATCAATATGTTGCTACTATGGTCTCTGATAGCATCCATAATGCTCACAACATCACCCCCCCCCTCCCCACACAAAAGGAAGGGTAGGCCCCTCAAACGACTCTAACATCTCTACTTCAATGAATATTGAGTGTGATGTTAACTAAGCACAGGAAGCTTTCCCTCAACTTTTGATCTTCAGTAGATTCCGTCACCATATTTCACATATATGTTCCGGAAGGAGATTAGACAGAAATCTCACTGCTTCTATTTGTTACCAAGGGAAACATTATTAGAACTCATTTCTACCCAACTCTTTTCTCATACAGTATTTTGCTTTACTCATAAGCCGCAATAGCAATGTGCACCACTTAAACCATCGGATTGCACGTTCACAACTCTAGCAGTGGGATTTCAATGGTATACACGCTGATATTTCTCGTTTTAGGCAAAGAAGTCGGGTAATATAGCTACTCTGCTATGTAGCTTCAAAGCCAGCTTTCAACTAGGCCATGGCAAGATAATATACAACCAAAATGTTTCTAGTCCAGAATTCTCAAGTGCAATATGTTATTCTTGTTCATAAAAAGGGAAGGTTCAAAAATGTCAAGGAGTCCATACCATGAATAAAATTTCATCCATTTGTACTTCATAGTATGTCCTAGAAGAAAAAGAAACGAAGAAAATTACGCTACCACAATGTAAACGTTGCTATAAGCGCCGGTGAAAATTCTTTTCCAGTGGAGCAAAATAATTCGTTCGCAAGAATTGGCACCAGAGACAAAGGAAGAAACACCGACTCACCATAATACCTCAGCGGAGCATCCTCAAATGCAACAGAACTGAAATAGAGACCCTAAGGCGGGAGAAACAAAAGAACTTACTTTCCAATACAATCCCTGAGGACCTCTTCTGTTTTCTCGCACTTCCTGACGAATCTTCCAGGTTCGACCTCCTCTGTTCTGCACTGGGATTTCACAACCTTTCTGGTGGAACAACGATCCTGGGTAGGAGAGTCAGATCTCCCAAATTCGCTAATGTCACGCGAAGACATTTGTTGGCCGTCATCATCGTCTCTCCAAATCCATCCCATTATCGAATCCCTTTAGCAATCGCAAAATAGCAGTTCCTCAAGATTTCAACCACAACTCACGGTTAGGCTACAGGCTCAGTGTTTAGTTTGTTCGGTGGTTTTTTTCTTATTTATATCGAGGCCCTCTTAGCTTTCTCTCCAAGGAAGCAAACGGAAGCCCAAGTCCACGTGGCTCTAGGATCGTTCATCTCCTTTCCTCCATCTGTTTGGCACCTTCACGAACTCGCGGTCAATTGAGATAAGCCACTTGAAAAAATAAAAGGAAAATATTGCAATAAATGTTTTAATTAACTGTCGAGGGGAAAATATATTTTCACCAGTTTTTGTAACGATTTGGAATTAGAGAATAAATAGTTTGCTAAGGTTGGTTCGGAAAAACATTTTTTCCCTAAATTTTAAAGAGTAAATACTTTTCATTGGTTTTTGGGTAACTAATGGTATTAAAAATAAATAGTTTTAGAAGGTCAGTTTCGAGAGAATAATTTTTCAGAGAAGATTTTCATGACAAAAAGAAGAAATAATTTCGTATTGCTCAAGCTTCAAAAGAATATTAGGCCCAAAAAAGGTTCGAAAGAATGTTATTTCTCCCAAACTTCATAAATATTTTTCATTGATTTTTTAACCATTCTTAATAGTATTTAAAAAATAGTTTTTGGAAGGTTATAATATCAAGAGAATGGTTTTTACAAAGGAAAAAAATAAATAAATCTCTTTCACTAAATGATGACTAGGGGTGGAAACAGGCCAGGCGGCCTGTCAGGGGCCTATGGCCTGGCCTGCATTTGGCCTGGCCTGACCTGGCCTGTTTCCCAAAAAAGACAGGCTCAGGCCTGTTTGAAGGCCTGTTTAGTTAAACAGGCCAGGCTTAGGCTTTTTAAAAAGCCTGTTAAACCTGTTAGGCCGGCCTGGGCCTGTCAGGAATTTATAATAATAATATATGAAAAAATTAATTAATGCTATTATTGTTAATGTACTCTTTTAATTTATTTTTTAATTTTAATATATAGTTAGTAGCTTAATCTTTTCTTAGATTTTGAAGTTTAGATGACAAGTGAAGATAAAAATATAATTTAAAATAATAATATTAATAAATAATGTGATTTTTAAATCTTAAAAATATAAAGAAAATAGGAAAGAAAAATTTTGTTCCAAGAATGATAAATTAACTAACTTACGTATTATGTTAATTTAAGTATGATACCCTCTTTATTCATTATAAAATTAGTATTTTTTTCCTCTTTATTTATTTGTCTTAATTTAATAATTTTTTGTGTGTACTTAAACGTAGTCTTATTCCAAATTTTAACATATAATTACAATTAGTTTTCAATAATATTCTTATAAATTATAATTAAGATTTAAAATAGTACTTATGATACTAAAATTTAAATAAAAGACAAGACTAAAAATTAAATTATTATGTACGTTTTTTTTATCTTAGCTTTTTTTAAAAATTAATTATTATAATTTGAATTTTTTAAAAATACAGGCCTTTTAACAGGCTTCAGGCCAGGCCAGGCCTTTATACAGGCCAGGCTCAGGCTGAAAAGTAAGCCTGTAACAGCCCACAGGCCAGGCTCAGGCCAATAGGCTCCAAAACAGGCCTGGCCTGTTAAAAGCAAAGCCTGGCCTGGCCTGGCCTGTTTCCACCCCTAATGATGATGCAAGAGCAGGTATCAAGTTTCGAATTATTGCTTCAAACAGTATTACTTTCAACAAGAAGAAATTTGTACCTAACAACAACAAAAAAGAAAGGAAAAATTCTTTGGAACTACACTTGTACAAAACCCTAGAATGAGGTCAAGCCATTCAGTGTTTAAACATATGTGAACTACTCCTCCGGTCCTAATTATAAGACCCAATTGACTTATTTGAGGAGATTAAGGAAGTAAGTTAAGTTGGTTATTTATAATAAATAAGTGTTGTCATTCTTAAAATATCCTTGCTAATTAAGTATATTGGCTAAAACTATCATTATTAGAAGGATTATCTTGGAAAAAAATACATAAATATAAGAGACAAAATGGATTGGGGTCTTATAATTAGGACCAAATAAAAAGTCAAATGGGGTCTTATAATAAGGACCGGAGGAGTACTATCTTTAGTTCTTAATATAAGAGCTTATTTGACATCTATTTTGGTATTAAATATAAGACTATAGTTTAGTTTCTCATATCTATCTATCTGTTTTCTAAAATAATCTTTATAATAATAATAGTTTCAATCAATACATTTAATTAGTAAAAATATTTTTAAAAAAACAACACACATGTATTATAAATAACTAATTTAATGAGTTTTTTTTAATCTACTCAAATTAATCAATTAGTTCTTAATAAGGACAGGGGGTACTACCTTTGAATGCGGCTTCGGCCCAAACTCATTGGGATAACCAGTGGCGCAAAAACCCAGGACCATCTGGCGGCAAAAGTCCCAAAACAAAACATGCTCCACGTGGCGGGAAGGGGGAGGGAAAGCAATATTGCATATTAAAATTTCTGCATTTACCCTCGACTGCAAGGCACAGTTTATTTCTTCTTATACGCAGCATCCGTGTATATTACAGAATACAGATATAGGTTGATTGGTTAATGAATAGCCTAATGTTACATATATGGCAAATGGTATTTTGAACGGAAAATATTATTCAAGGAAAACAAAGGAAAGAACCTCTATGGCATGTATAACTAACCACCATAATGTTACAATACCCGCATCAACGATTCCGACTCAAAGGGAGCAGTTTGAACCCGACGTTCCCCTTCCGGCCCAAAGAGGAAAACAAAGGGAAGAACCTCTATGGCATATTTAAGGGCAAGTTGACGACCAAAAGGGAAGAACCTCTAAGGAAAAAGTTCGGGCCCTAAATGCTCGAATACCAAGTTGACAAGAAGCCCGAAATTACCCGATTTTCTCATCTGCTGCTCTTGGCGATCGAACTTTTCCCTCTTAACAAGGGCAGAAAACAACAGTGTTGATGCTTTTTCAGCCCGCTTGACTTCTTCGGCTGATCAGAAGACATATCTTGGATTGCATCCACATCTGATTGCTCGTTACTGTCCAGCGTTTTTAGGTCCAAAGTTGGGGTCTTTGTTGCCCCCTTTTCTGAGGAACATATAGGCACTGAAACATTCTGCTCTGGAGAAGCTGGTACTACTTTGTTGTAGTTTACTTCCTTTAAATTAGAATTTGTGCCTGTACGCCTGTAACCGGGAAAAAAAAAAAAAGAATCAGATTGTTAATTAAATGTTACTATTTATCATTAACATTCTGGCTATTTGGCTCACACTAACACAATCAGTACACAATCACTAATAATCACCTTAAGCTGTGAATGTCAGGGTTATTCCCAAGTGCTTCTTGAGTATTTTCCTCCAGAATCTCTTCGTTTAATACTTTGACAGTACTAACCTCATTTTTGGAACACAATTGACCAGGTTTTGAGGAATATGTATAAAGTTTGTCATCCTTTTGCTTGGACGGAGACTCTTTACAGGTGAAGTTGAAGCTGGGAGAGGGCTGGAAGGAATGAAATCCATATTCTCGAACAGCTGAAATGGCCTCCTCTAATGTTTCAAGAGCCTGCTCTACCTCTGCTCTGATATGTACATTCTTTTTGCCCTTTAACTGACTCGCATTAACTTCATTAATTCGAATATGTTTTACTTTCTCGTCATCCTCTTCAATGCGCTCAGTTTCTTCACTATCTGCCTCCACAATCTCACCATGTGCATTGCTACTGTCCAGTGCTGTTCCATTCATCGATGTGAAGTCATCAGCATGATAGTTGCCCTTATCCCCCCGAGACACATCTTTTGTATCATCTTGCTTACTTTCAATAACTTCTTCGGCTCGGATAATGTCTACACCTTGGGCATCCGTAGACTTCTTTGACCCATTAATAACATATAGAGCTTCACGAAGTCTCGAATATAATGGCTCCCCCAAAGCCTTAATAAATCCTTCATCATGGTCCATCATCGAAGCCACTGCCTGTAGCAAAAACATGGGTTGCATAATGTGCCGAGATGATTAAAAAAAAATTTTTTGGGGGGGGGACATAACGGGAATGCTAGGATGTTTATATACACGAGCAAGCAGAAAATGACAACCGGACCCAATATTCAGATGAACCACAGCATTTAAAATCCTATATTCTATAGGCCGTGAGCTCAGTAGGCATGACAAATCCAACAATGTAACTTATGACAAAAGAACCCACGGGATTCATAAATAGGTTTCATTTCTGGATCAAAGAATGAGTCAGCTCATTATTGTATGAAAGGAAGCAAAAACGAATAAATCTTCATTGAAAGCCATATAAAGGACACAAATACAAAAAGAATCTTCAACCTTCTTGTAAAGTCTGAAGCCACTGCCAATGAGCTGTCTTGAGATGAAGTTGATAAGTGATGGAGGTACAATATCCAACTTTATATCCATGTTTGCTATCGTCCTACAAAATTTGATAGACCTGAATCAGCTTTTCCAATCAAAATTTTTTCTGTGCCACCGTTTTTTACTTTTCCCCACATGAAGTTAGAAAAGCATGCCCATACTTAGTCTAATCTCATTGAATATAAAGCGAGTTTGATAGCCACATAAAAGCAAGATAAGAAACAATACCATTGAGAACCAGTAAAGTCAATCAGAAAAACCAATCAAGCAAGGTGACCATATCGAACAAACAACCAAAATATATGATCAGAGTGAGAACAATCCAAATTCCCCAACTGATCCCCAAACCCAAGCCTAACATACTCAGAAGCATCAAATAGCCGAAATTTTGTTACTGCCTAACCCAAGACGGACTAGAAATTGATTTAGGACCTCACTGTTGAAAACAATTTTAAACTCTTCATACCTCAGCCACATTCTAAAAGTGTTTTAACTCTAGATATATTCATTTGCCAATTTATGAGCAAAGTAACCAGCTCACAAAAGCTGTAAATAAAGAAATAAAACCTAGTATATTAAATCTCGTTATGCATATGAAATTATTCTTTATTTTGCCTCTTTTAAATCCAGCAGATCCTGTAGGGTCTAAAATTGACTCTGCCAAGCGACTGTTTCGCTCGTTTAGTTCCATATCCAAAATATATATCAAACTCACCGAAAATAACTTCTTTCTGATGTCACCTTTTGCAAAGCAAAACCTCCCACCACATCAATCCTAACCGCATCGTTTGCTTCAGGAATTGCATCGTTGTTGAAACCATAAAGCTGCCCATTGAAGCTCTTTGAATCAGGAATCTGAAACCAAATCCATCATAGTTATTGAAGCTCAGATCTGGATTTGAATTAACTAAAAAAAGAAATTAAAGAAGAAAGAATGTCCACGAAACTACCGTATTTATAATGACAACAATTAAGTCATCCTGGAAGTACTCAAACAGATAATAGTGCATGACAGCCTCCCTTGTGGAAAGTGGCCATGAAAGCTTCACCCTTTCTTCCGACATTTCAAGTAAAATAAGCATTAGAAAGTGAACATCTATGGTATAATAGACGGCAAGTGAATTTTTAAAAAAGAAAGGTCAACAGTGACAAGAAATCAACCTTACTAGAGATAATTGTTCCCCAATCCGGACCCTCTGCAAACACTCACTCACCACGATTTTGAAAGTGGGAACAGTAAACTGAGGCCACCTGAGAAATGAAAAAAGTGACATGGCTGTTGGCTTTTTTACTTACTGTTTCCATCTCTGGTCCAATAAAAGTTGACAACATCATGGAAGTGAAATTAAAAAACTTCAACCTCTTAGGTTAAAAATGCACCCAGCTTAAAAGGTCAATGAGATATTCATATAGGTAAAAAGTACTCCTTATCCAACCACAGAATCCTTCCCCTCATCGGTAAAAACAACTGTCCAATCATTACCTAGATTCAAATCATTTATGACTACACAGCAAGATAGCACCATACTACAGAGATGAATTTGCTAAATTCCTCTCCGAAATTGATCATATCAACTAGCAGAAAGCCCCACATATTGAAGTGCAACCTAACCTACCACTCGAATGGCCCACACCTTATGTTGATCACTCTTCAAATTCGAGAGTACACATTTTCCATCATCAGTCATAACACAGTTAATCAAATTTTACAAGAATGAGAGAAAAGGAAAACATAGAGACAACATTGGAAAACTTCAACCTCTTTGCTTGAAAAATGCACCAAACTTAAAGAATCAACGACATTTTCACATTGGTAAAAGGCATGGGGTATTCAACTATAGAATATTTTCTTTTTAGTGAAAACAGATATACAATTATTACTCAAATTATTTATACAGTATACAACAACTTCTGGAATCACATCATAACAGAAATAAATTCTCTCAATTCTCTCCAAAATCAACTTTGGAGAGAGTCCCAGACGTTCATATGAAGCCTACCACGTGATTGGGCCCTATACACTCTACATCTATCTTTCCAAAATTAAGAAGATCCATTTCTCATCATAACATAAATAATCAAATGACGAAGTTAAGATATCTTGAATATCTGTAACTCAATGATATTCCAAAAGGTATAAATGGAAGCAGTTATTTTCATTAAGTATAACCCCCACACTTGTGCAAAAATTCATCAAAAGCATAAATATGACAAAGCACGATACCCACCATTTCTTGTAAAGGGGTGTCTCCCATGACATACATAAACCTGCAAGAAGGAATAGAACTCGTTAAATTTTATATACTGCATTCAAAGTAGCTGCAGTCAAAAATTTCTGTTGCACCAGTATAACTCACAAACATCTACAGGGCCATCAACGTAGCCTTCAGCTAGCAATGTATGAAACGGAGTTCCCTCTGGTCCTTCACGATACATAACACGAAACTCTTCATTATCCTGCTTCAACTGAAGGGAGAAGAATGGAAACGAGTGTCAAGGATTTTATTGGAAAACTCATGAATCTACCATCCAAAGCATAATCAGAGTTCATAAGATAAATTTCATAGAAATAGCATCAATTCATTGAATTCTCAGCAAGGGGGTACTTCAAGACCAAAACCACTAAACGAAAGGTCAGGTCTCTCATCAGTTACGAACTCTTTAATTTTCCCAAAAATAAAAAAAGTCATTCATTCTTCATATACATATAAAAAACAAAAACGAAGAAGACGAAGAAGATCGAACTAGAGGAAAGGAACATTATTTGGCAACGGGAAGAGGTTTAACCAAGCAAAAACAACTTGAAGAGTACTGCACAGAGTAGATAACACACTTTCCAATCCGCGCGTGATGTTTTAGATCTGTCACTACCATCGGCAGAAACACTCCTCAACATATCAAGAAACTTGGACACTTCTGCGGCCCTGGTCTCCACTGCTTCCTCGTCGTATTCATATCCTGTATAAAACAAATATGATTGAAGACAAATTTAATAAACCGATATAATATTTGCAATGCTGCTTGGATAATTTGAAATTCAATAAAAGAATATAGTAACCTTCTATTTCTTGTCCTGAAGAACGTAATTGCCTTTTGACAAGGGCTTTTAGCGGCTCCTCGTTTCTCAGATCAGGTGAGGAAAGTGTCTTGTCCAGCCTCTCCCTATATTGCACAATCTTTCGTTTCTTTTCCATCTTCACATCAACAAGGAAAGTTGAGAGAGCCCCGTCTCAAAAGTCATGTATAAAACTGAGGCTAGAGCAATTAATTGGTTTTTGAATCACCGACTAAACCTACAGCCATAAAAAGTTCAATGCAAGGATGAGAATAGCATTTAAGAATCATAACGAGCATAAATTTCCGGTAAAATTGACTGACTAAAATCAAATTAATAGTTCAAAGTTAGTATACATAATTTCGAAGGCAAGCAGATAATAAAGGAGATCATCGAAGCTAAATTCAAAGCTAAACAAAGCTTGAGATATCATGGAACCCACGTGGAGGCCACGCGTAATTGCTCGGAACCCACTACCATGAATGCTTCGGTAGATGTCTTCTTAGTTGTTGTGAAGAGATTACAGAACCCAGAATCAAAGATACGAAATACCCACCGACAAATGCCGATCACCACTGCGAGGAGACAGCTAGAGTTCCCAGACGGAAGGGGAACGTGGGGTTTAAACTTCTCTCTTTGACCATGAAAGAAACCGGATTGGAGGCAACAAGAAAAGTCCCGAATGAATACAGGAAGACAAGGGCATTAAATTAAATTAAATAGATAAGAACAAATAATCGTTCTGGGGAATACGAAAGTAATTGTGTGCTTCGGAATTAGGTTGCGCTAAGTGGAACTGAAAGCGTCAGAGTCAGACGGGACCACGCAAGAGCGACGAAGGAAGGAACATTCAAAAGGTTAAAATACTGGTATCGAGAAAGCCTCAAGTGAGCCAACAGAATGATCTTATATCTAGGCAGTAATAAAAATATTTGGGAGTTTGTGAAGAAGGAAGAAAGGTGAGCTGCTTTTTCATCCCTCCCAAATCCAATCCCAGCTGATTTACTGATTCGTTGGGAAGGGAGAAGGCATGTGAATTGTCTTCACTGATAATCACGCAAAGAGCAATCGCTGATTTCGCCCGTCTGCTTCAGCGGATTGCGAAAGGATGCCGGCATGCCGCTAGATTCATTCCGTTTGGATTTGGTATCGTACTAAATCGGGTTATTTCCGGTAAGTTACCGTATAAAGGAGATACTCTCATACCTCTACCAACAGAAAAACTGAAAAAGGTCGTTTCAAGTAATTCAGCGGGTAATTAATTAATAATTTAAACTTTCATTTATTTTGTAGAGCACAGGAAAAAGGGAACTCGGTCACCTTGTATTCGGCCAGCAGCCCAGCATAGATTTATCACCTGATGAATGATGATAGCGGTGTGTGTGTATATATTGGGACCGTCGAATATATTATGGGCTACGAGTTTAATTGTTGACAACTAAATAAGCTATACTTGGATTGAGTGCCAAATGGCAAGAAATGGGTAGAAAATTCACACTGAAACACGCAAACAGATTAGTTGATAATATTGGCTCAGCAACGAATGTTCATAATAATGATTCGTTTGACGTCTAAATTGGGGACCCAACTACACGCGCATGATCCAACACGTCCTCCTTCCTGGTCATATATAATGTCGTCTTCTTGTTGGCGCCAGAGGTCATGCTAATGAAAAAGTAAATCCAAAATTATGGAATACAAAGCACGCCTTAAAATTAAGAACACAAAAGCAAAACTGCCAAAACAAAGGTAAACTGTGAAAACAAAACATAACAACTAGAATATTCTCAATAAATACTACCACCGGCCAATTACACTATAAACTACATATTATACTCCAAATACTTCAAATCCTCAATCCAAAGAATCGACAGAGAGGGGATGAGGGCGTTAAAACCCATTCTAAAGAACACATCCCCTTTAGCTCTAATTTCTGGCAATCCACTTAAAAGTAGTAGTGACTGTTTGGTGATTGACCAATATTAGCTAAGTTATCCACAATGGCTAAGCAATCACATGCTGGGCAAAAAGACCCTGTGCCAAGCAGCTTCAACCAGAGGGAGACAATAACAAAACACGACCCCTAACATAACTGGGCAATCATCAAATCCAGACACGACCCATCTCGGATCACCTACTGTCTTATAGAAGATCTGTCTGCAAACCAACCATGCCAGCAAAACACATACCTCGTAGCCAGGCCCAGGCTCATTAGATTGTGAACAAGGAAGTACAATGAACGAGAATCATATGAATACGACCAGATTAGGCCCTCAGGAAGGATAAAGAAATTAAGCATGGAATTATTAAACCTTATATAGATCTTATTTGGTACGAAATATTAAAAATAAAGATAATAATTATGATTAGAATTAAAAAATATATATTAAAAGTGTTTGGTATAAGAAATTAATTATTACTTAAGATTAGACAAATGTGTATGTATAGGATTAGAGAATACCATGAAGGAGGTAGTATATCATAAGAAATTACTCATATTAAACACTATTTAATAGTTTTTCTCAATCTCAATTCTAATTTCCATCCCTTATTTTTAATACTTAGTATCAAACATTTAATAAATTATATTGATAAAAATCTCAAAATTTGAGAGCGGTCGCGTGAATACAATTATAATACCATTCCGGTTTGAATATAAGACGTGTAACATGATATTTCATGCAATGGATTAGATTGACAAAATTTTTCATGTTTATTCTTATTAAATTTTTATTTCTTTTTATATTTATAGATCATTATCATATTTCTTTTTTTTTTCTCGTCTTCCAATAAAAATAAAATTGATAAACAAACATTAATATATTACAAATAACTTATTTTTAGAATGAAAAATTTCTCCCGTAAGTGACTTATATTTACTCTATGTTTGGTATAAAGGAACCGGAGAGAAGGAGAGGGAAAAAATTTTAATAAACTCAATTTAAGTAATTAAAAAATTAGTATTATAATTTTTTTTTATGGGAAGGGTTATAAAATTTTAATAAAGAGAAGATGTAAAATAAAAGAGTAACAAAATTAATTAAAAAAGTTTAACCCTAATTTTTTAATTTTTAAATCCAACTCATTTAACATTTTATTCTCCCCTTTCCCCTTCTCTTCCCCACACACCAAACGAACGGAGTGGCAATCGGTAGCAAAGGGAAGACTCGGGAGAAAAAAATCAGAGCAGGATGCTACGTAATAAATGGGATCGATATGTAATTAATATATATCCGTACCCGTGACCATGGCAATTAATAAAGCAAGATATCCAGTTGAAAGTTGAGAAGCAGAACAAATGCAGTACGAGTATCCCTCCTAGGGGTATTTAAGGCCGACCCGTCCCGGTCGTCTCATTCAGGTCCTAATCTTATTGGGACAGGACGGGATAAAAAAAGGACCGGGACGGGACACGGGTCGTCCCGTCCCGGTCTTTTTTTTTTTTTAATTTTTTATCATATTTATATAATATTATTTTTTTAATATTTTTTTAAGATCTGAGATTATTGTATGGAACTATAGATATATTTATTTAAAGTTTTTATATTTGTTAATCATTTGAGATTATTGATGATTAGAATTTTTAGCAAGTTTTATTGTGTTAAAAACTTTTGTTTAGAATTTTTAATGATTATTATATGTAATATTTTGAACTTTTGTTTAAGAGTGTCCAAACAAATAAAAAGAAAATAAAAAGATGTTTTTATAAAGTTTAAACCCAAAAAAATATAATTAAAAAACAGATTTTATTAAAAAATTAAAAAAAAAGTTCAGGACGTCCCAGTCCCATCCCGTCCCGATCGAGACCAGGATAACCCCGGGACGGGTCAAGACACGAGACAGAGTTACTATTCATCAAGACAGAACCGGAACGGGCTTGTCCCGGTCCCGATCTATCCTGTGAAAAGTCTTAAATTCCCACCAAACACTTTGTTAGTTAGGAATTAAGACTAAAATCTCAATCTCCATCTACCATCTGAACTGCCACCCAAATAAGTGGGGGATGCCTGGCTCATGTCTTGTGTTTGTCCGGAATGGCACGAACTGAATCGTCCTCGTCGATTTATTAATTAAATGAAATGGGACCCTACACACATACTCACAGGGCCCCAGTTTCTAGTTTCAGTCTATTCACTGCCTTTTTAACGATTTGATTACACTCCATCAAACTAATTCAATTAGCAGTTCCCTTGGTGCAGTGCCCACTGGACGTGTTTTGCCCACAATAGTCAATAAACTAACATATTCATATTTTCGAAATTATTCATAGTGGATCAAAGCACGATAAAGGATACTACGGGTACTTTGCATTCAAAACAGCACCTAAGGAGTACTTAATTTCGACGTAAAGCAAGTTCCGTAATGATCAGCCAAACGCTATTTTAATTACTTATTTGTTTTTAAAAACTGTTGTATAAAGTTTTACAATGTTTTCTTAATTTTAAAAGTAGATAAAATCTATAAAAACATAATTATTCTGAGAAGCTACTTGAGTATCTTCTGAAATTAATCACCCGCGGTAAACAAGAGAGAATGTGATAAAAACATGAAAAGATACAGAAATGTCATCAAATTTAAAAATTATTGAAAAATCAATTATTTTTATGTGAATGTAGGTGTACAGAGATATCATAAAATATTCAAAATTGTTAAATAATAATAAGAGTTAATATAATTTTTGATTCCTTAAATTTGTCATCATTTTGGTTTTAGTCCCTCAAATTTTAAACCATAAGTTTTAGTCCCTTAAGAAACAAAATAATCTAAGTTTTTATTAAATCATAGGGACTAATGTTTTCAATAAAAGGAAATTTGAGGCACTAAAATCTATAATTTGAAATTTGATAACCAAAAGCAAAATGAAGACAAATTTAAGTTACCAAAATTTGTATTAATCCTAATAATAAACATCAAATGCAAAATAATTTTTGGTCTTAATAAAATCCTTACAAAATACAATCTCTGATCTTTAATTACAAACAAACTTAGTTTGTCGTTTACGAAACAATATTTTATTTAGAACAACAGTTCTGGGTGGCCAAGAAAAATAAGGGGAGAAATGCCACGTGGCATGGTGTGTGTATTAACCTGAAACGTGGCATGGTAGTAGTTGAGAACGGGCTAGTAAGGCGGAAAGCAAAGTCCAACCAAACAAACGTATTTTTTCTTCTTCAGGGTAACCTCGTTCCAGGGTTACTCTATCCGCCGTTTGTCCCGGCTAGGGCTCCATCTCTCTTCCTCCTGTTTTTGAAAGGGGTGCTTGGCTTGCTATTCTTCGCCTCTGTTTGTTTTGTAAGTCTCAATTTTCCACCGCCACTACTCTCTCGACTCTCCTTTGAATTACTTCGTCTCTTATATATATATATATATTTTGCCCAGCGTATTTGGGTAAAGCTTCTATTTCCCCCCCTTTCATCCTCTTGTTAAGTTTCCAAACAAAGATTTATGATTCTGTCAAAATATCATTGTCACTGGCCTGATTTTTGAAGCAGTCTGGTGTTTGGGAGATGAGAGTCGTTTGTTTTACGATCTCTTGCTCTGCCTTCATCTGGCTGCTCATGTTGGCGCATAGTCAAAATCCGAAAGAACAATAAACCTTAGAAGTTGTAATTTTCTGGGGAGGTGTATACTCATTAAGTTCATTCGAAATAAATCTAATCTAAGAAAATAAACTTTCCGTGATTCGAAGGTTTTAATTTCCCTTCTCGTTGCTTCATTATCTTTTCTTTATACAGCCGGAATTGATGGTTTGGGATCAGATATTATGGCTGCATTTAGGTGAATCCATTTAATAGTGGGGAGCTGGAATGAACTGTCTCCTTAAATGAGCTGAGATCCTCCGCGTTGCAGACCTATTATTATATACCGGTCAATTTGATTTTGGAAGTGGACAAAATAATTTGACCAACGTAGTTTTGGGTGGACATCTTACTCCTTTAATCTTCAATGACACGGCAGCTATGGTGTTTTTAAAGGATTTGCTGAAGCAAATACGCATAACAATCGGTTAATAGCTGTTTCCAATTTTATATGTTAACGTCTCCCTACTTTCAGCGAGGCTATACTGTGAGAAAAGAAAGACTCTTCCTTCTTACCATTGTTGCCTTCTGCCTTTTACTTTACTGCTTCTGTCTTCCAATTAAGCAACTATTTGGGAAGTGAAAAAAAGAACTTCGAAATATTGGCACTTGGGAACTTAAATGGGATAATATTTAAGGTGTGTTATAGTGCACTGGGCTCCCTTTGAGAATGGACAGTTCATAATCATGTTTGTTTTCTGTTTTCTCTTTTCTGTGCCGGGTAAAAAAACTAGCTAGCATTATTACGGCTATTGGTGATGGAAGACAATATTAAGAGGATTTGTGGAAAGTGATAGTGCAAGTAGTTGATTAAGTTGTGGTAAGTAAATAATGCAGTGCCTGCTTTTTATTGTTTTTACCAAGTTGTTGTACTTGTTTCTTACGTACGTATCCATTTGAATTGCAGGTGATGAAATGGAGGACTGCTTCAGGGCCAATTGGACCCCATCTCAGGACCAATATTTTCTTGAGCTTATGCTGTCCCATGTGCGCAAAGGGAATAAAACTGGCAAAGCATTTAATAGACAAGCCTGGGCAGACATGACTGAAAAATTTAACATCAAATTCGGTTTTAAGTATGATGTGGATGTCTTGAAGAACCGACTCAAACGCTTCCGGAAGCAATACAATGAGACGAAAATGCTTCTCGGTCAAAGTGGTTTTCGGTGGGATGGAACATTAAACATGGTGATAGCTGATGATAAAACATGGGATGAACATGTTAAGGTACAACGCACTTTCATCGAACATTTGCAAAAGCAATTATAAACTTGACGTTGCAATTAGCTCGTGAGTATATATGCAGGCCCATCCTGACTTGCAAGCTTACAGAACTAAAGTCGTGCCCTATTATAGCGAATTGTGCATAGTTTGTGGCCATGCAGTTGCTGACGGAAGATATAGTCTTTCATGTTTTGATGTAGACTTTGAACGTGAAGGTAGGAACAAAATGTCACCATGATGAATGATATGTCTGTTTGTTCTAAAAGAAAGTCTTCTGATTTTCTCGTTCAATTTTAATTTATTACTGTGAATCACACAAAGTTTGAACTATTTGTAATCTGTTATCAGAAGCTTCAAAAGAAATGGATGACCAGAGTTCTCCAAGTAGAGGGGATGGTCAGACCAATCACACCAAAATTGACTGGTCTCCGGTGATGGACCAATTCTTTGTTGAACTTATGCTGGACCATGTGCGCAAAGGGAACAAGATTGGTCGTACATTCATGAAGAAATCATGGGCAGACATGATAGAAGCATTCAACGATAGATTTGAGTGTCATTACGGCAAGGTTGTTCTGAAGAACAGGTTTAATGTCCTGAGGAGACATTACTGCTCTATTAAGGTTCTCCTTGGCAAAGAAGGGTTTAGTTGGGATAAGACGCAACAGAAAGTGGTGGCTGATGATCAATCTTGGCATAAATGCATCAAGGTCCACGTGTTCCTGGTCATAGTTTCTTTATTTACGTACTTCTTTTTGAATGATTCTGACTATCACACCTGCTCACTGTTGCAGGCAAATCACAACTTTCGGCTATACAAAATGAAAAGCATGCCTTTTTATCCTGCCATGTGCATCATATGCCAGAATGAAACTATGCCTGTGAGCATAAGCAAGTCACATCTTAAAAATGGATTTTCTGAGGACAAGACTTCTACCAGAGATGCTCAGCCGCAACCTAATGCACATAAAGGAGAAGAGCATATGAATGGTGACAAGAACTTCACACGAGAAACTCAGATGCTCTCTAAATCAGAGAAGCAAGCATTGCATTTGGGTGGCGAAAAGAACGTTCCTGGTCACCAAAAAAGGCATCAACCTGAAATGCCTCGGAACTTGAACGAGTCTAAGAGGGCAAGAAATTGTAACGGGGGAGTGCAAGATATACTGAAACATAGGATGGTCGCGATCTCAGTTTCTTCGCTAACGAAGAAAAACAAGAAAGAGGACAAGTTTTCTATAGATAATGTAATCAGTGTGCTTCAGACTATACCAGACGTGGATGACGATCTGATATTGGATGCCTGTGACTTCTTGGAAGATGAAAGAAGAGCGAGAATGTTTCTAGCTTTGGATACTAATCTGAGGAAGAAATGGTTAATGAGAAAACTTCGTCCGTAGTAACTGATGAATCTGGTGAAACTTGTTCCGAGGCACGGTGAATGATTTATGTTATCCGTAACTGTAATCGCTTGGCGCTCAATCACTGAACATGGTGCCGTGATTCTTTTGCCTAACTAGGATTGATATTGAACACGAAAATTTTATGTTCAAAATTTTTTTGGTCGACATGTTGACTGAACAAGATAATTTTTTCATAAATGATAATAGACTGTGATTTGTACGTACCTTACTGATTAAATTATGTACATTTCATATTTCGATTAAAAAAATATATCTTATCACTAAAAAAAATTATATATAATATAAAAAACTAATTAGTTATACTATTTTTGGTCCTTAATATAAAGTAGTAGTTTAACATTTAATTTGGTCTTAAATTGAAGATTTTAATATGTTTTATTTTTTATATTTTTTTTTAAAAGATAATTTTTGTAATAGTTACACATGTTAAAAGATTTTATCAAATGGTAATTTTAATTACGGCTGTTCACGGGACGGATCGGAACCGGGACAGGCCCGTCTCGGTTCCGTCCCGATAAACAGTAACGGGATAGATTTTCTGTCCCGTGTCCCGGGGTTGTCCCGGTCCCGGTCAGGACGGGATGGATCCGGGACGGGACCGGGACGTCCAAAAAATATTTTTTTTAATTTTTTTAAAAAAATCTGATTTTTTTAATTATATTTTTTGAGCTTAAATCTTATAAAAACATCTTTTTATTTTATTTTTTATTTGTTTGGACACTCTTAAATAAAAGCTCCAAATATTACATATAATAGTCATTAAAAACTCTAAACAAAAGCTTTTAACACAATAAAAACTTGCTAAAAATTCTAATCATCAATAATCTCAAATTATTAACAAATATAAAAACTCTAAATAAATATATCCATAGTTCCATACAATAGTCTCAAATTTAAAAAAAATATGAAAAAAAATGATATTATATAAATAGGATAAAAAATTCAAAAAATTCAAAAAAAAAAAAAGGAACCGGGATGGGACCGGGACGACCCCGTCCCGTCCCAGTCCCTTTTTTGTCCCGTTCCGGTCCCAATAAGACAGGGACCGGAACGAGCCGATCAGGACGGACCGGCCTTAAACACCCCTAATTTTAATTAATATATATGATTAACAAAAATACTTTAAAAAAGACAATATCTATTTATTATAAATATATAACTTACCTAATTTTTTTAATCTACTCAAATTAGCTCTTATATTAAGAACTAAATATAGTAGTATTTATAAATCATGAGTAATATAACTTTTATAATCCTCGCATACGAAATATGATAGATTATTAGCAAAATTATGAAAATCCCGTCAAGATCTAAATCCAGTCCCCTCAAAACAATGTCACGAAAGTTTGTTTCACTTAAAAATAGAGAGAATAACTTTTAACTTGTAGCAGAACACAAGAATCGCAATAGATTTGAAGAGAGGTCCATGTAGGATTTTGGGTAATTAGAATTTAGAAGCGTGAGGAGGGGGGGAGATGAATAATATACTTTACACATTTCACGAACTTCTAAATATAAAGATAGAAAACAATTAAGATTATTTAGGCTAACAAATACAATCAAGGTTTGTCAAGAGTTTATTTGAAGTTTAAATGACATCTCTATGAAAAGACAGGAATTATGGATCGTACATCCCAAGTTAGAAGAGAAGGCGGATGTGCGCATGATGTGTGAGAGTTCTATTACCTATGAGGGGAAATGAGCTAAATTGTCCAAACAAAAACAAAAAATCAATCAAAAGTCCCCCCCCCCTTTTTTTTTGTGGGGGGGGAGGGGAGATCCTGTTTAACTATTGCTCTTTCAGGATCTGTTTCGAAAAAGATTGGTTCATATTTCAAAGGGATTGGTGTTTACATACATGGTAGCAAGAAATGTAATGACCAATCATCTCAACAATAAATGGAGAAACTCCTCAAGACCTACTACTCATTCCCCTGTGGTTTCTAAGGTATTTACGAGACTAGATCCTTCTTCCTTCCCTGTACACTCGGTGAATCACAACCCAATGGGCTCTAAACTTTTCTGTAGAAAAGAACGTAAGCAGCAGAAGTCTTTACCATGTCCTCACTGGCAGGGACAACCCTGCTATCATCAAACTCGTACCATTTATCATGTCCATACTGCATCCAAGCAAACACAAGTTGGATGAGTAACTTCAATTAATACACCAAAATGCCAATAATAAATTTTAACATTGATAAACAATATGCACAGATGGTTTTATAGAACCAACAGCACCTAACAATCCAGAGTGCCAGCAACAGCTTCTGTTTGATTATTCTTTTTCAAAGTACTTTTTAAAGAAAACCGAGGATGCCAATATATTAACTCACTATACTGTCCACAATAAATTGACGAAAAATAATATTTTGCAACTAATTTTAGAACAAAACTGGCAAAAAAATATATCAGCTGTTCTGCAGAAACCTTCAACCTTTTATAGTCAATACACGCCTCAACATTGTTTGTATTTGTCCAGGTCTTAAATATGTGATAGGATAATGAAATATTTAATTTATTGTAGGCAAATAATCAAATACTTAATTAAAAATGAAGAGAAATATTGTTTTAACTGATTAAAAGCCATCTCCCATAAAGCTGTACTTACACGAACCAATGCTGTATAATGACCTCCTCCCAAGCCTCCATAATGACAGCTGATTGCATACAACTCGTAATGTGGAGAAGACGGGCTATTCTTGTGGGCAACATAAGTTGACAGGTCCAAATCATTGATTGGGAAATCGACGAATGTTTCTAGCTTGTTCTTAAAGTATCTGCTGAATGAAAACCTCTTCAAATGAACAACAAGAATTTCAGGTAATCTCCAAAGATCTAGTTTTTTAGTCGCTTGCTGAGGCTTTTTGCACTTAGGACAGAACCTATTAGCACACCATATTACAATATGAAACGTTAGACAAGCTGAATCATGCATGGCCCTTTGGGCATAATGAACAAAAATTAACGTATAAAATTTGGCACTTGAAAAATGAAACAGCCTGGCATTTGAATGCCAATTACTCAGATTTGATTAATAATTTAAAAAAACATATTCATAAATAAAATGGAAGACAGTTTATCTATACTAACCACATGTCATCTGGCCCAAGAGGCTCCTCTTTTAAGAATGCTTCAAGGCACCTGTAAACAGAAACAGATTCTTGTGTTCTCTTACTGAATAACTGTGGCTTGAAAACCTCAGGCAACGAGCTGAGTAGGCATGTATCATATCTCTCTATCATCTTATCTGACCATAGGACAGCAACCTCCAGCTTTTTGGGTAGCAGTGTGAATGGTAATGGTTTATTCATTTTTATCTCCCCATTATCTGTCCCTACCGGTGCATTTAGGTAGAATTTAAAGTCAGCCTCCAAATCTGAATCCGAATCACCTTCCAAGCACGTAGAGCTAGTGGCATCGCTCAACTCATTATCTTTACTAACTTCAATATCATCATCATGCTCATCTAAGAAATCTTCAGAGGGCATCAGAAACGGATTAATTAACTTCAGAAACTCCCTACGAATGTCATATCCACAGGAAACACTGGGCAACCTTGCCACAATAGGAATGCCAAACAAACTCTCTACCAACCTCTCCCTCCCCAAACTGCACTGCCTGAACCAAAAAAAAAAAAAAAAAATTGCACAGCAAACAAAGCAGACTCCAAAGATCAGGAAGGAGCAGGTAAATAGCCAGCAGTAGAATAATACAAAAAACACACTTAGTCGCCTGAAAAACACACCAAAAGGAATGAAGATTTATACAACAATCCTCCAATATTTTATTCCGTTTCACTTAATTCTATTTGAGACACAAGCAGCACACATTAGCTCTCAGAAAGTTTGCAATGGCATATGTGAGTCGGACAACATAAAGAAAAATATGAAAGTGCCCTTAGGCTATGTCTACTATGTGCTAAAACGTCTTGCGAAGCTGATAGCTATAAAAAGTCAAATCTACTCAATTTTTAGGAGTATCGTAGAAGGTTTTAAAGTAACTAATTAATAATTAGTATCATGCATATATACCTCGTCTCTTGAAGGACTGGTACTTCATATGTTCATAATGAGCAGAATGAAGAAAATTAAGATGACATTCCTTTGGGAATTGTTATCAAATTCTAATTTTGTACAAGTCATTCATATTACCATCCTAGGGCAATTTGTTTGATTCTTTGATCACCTAAAATGGTAAAATTCACACACGATGTAGAACGGAACCTAAGTTCTTCATTTTCAAACTTACGCAGGACAAAAACATACAAACACACTGTAGGAACAAAACTGACATAGTTAATTAAAATATCATTATCATGCTTAGAAAGCTTACTTCGTCACCTGCTGATGCATGAAAACAACCAAGGGGCCAGCCTCATCTTTTGGCAGTCGATAAGCAACTAGTTTGTCGTCATCTCTAATCAAGGCTAACGAATCAGATGGTTCCTCCAACAGACGACAGATGCGATTCCTGTATATCTGCAGTAAGCAAGTCCTTGACAATTGTTAGCACTTTCCCAGGAAATTAAAGGCAACTACCTCAAATATGCTTCATTCCACCAGTAATGCATTGATACCCTAAAATATAATCCAATTCCTCTTTAAAAATACAACTTCTTACCTCGGCTATCAAGAGGGTCTCATCATCTCTTAAGGAACATGCATCACCCAAGGCCTTAATAAGATCCTTCAGTAAGCCACTCTTGGGTAATGTTATGGTAAATGCGGAAGGCAGAGCACTCCCATCAGTGCTCAGGACAGTCAAAGTGATCGTCCGCATTGTAGTAGAAGGTAATGGCAAAGATAGGTGCATAAAAGGGTCAAAAGTGATAGAAACCTTCTTGCAAACAGGGCAGACCAATGTTGAACGGAATTGACCCTATAAGAAAAGGAACAGAATAAGTTTGCTTTTAAAACAGGTAATCATCTCATGCAAAGTAGCATAGCATCCAAAATCAAACATATGACAAATAAAATGATCCTCAAACCAACACCAGATGGATTTCTCAAAAAGTCAAATCATGATTGGAATCACAGGCAATTATACATTTTTCAATACGTCACTTTTATAGCACATAAATTCCAGGACTTACTGTTGAACCTGTTAATAGGAAAGTTGGGCTCAGTGTTAGCTAATTGCCAGTTTTACATTACCATAACTTCTTCCACCACACCCAGCAATCCATTCATAAGCAGTAATCCAA